TCCCGGTGGTCGGCTTCCGGCGCGTTACGTGACGTCACCACGGCCGGCTTCCGGCGCGCTGAGTGTGGCGCCATGTGCCGACGGCAATGGGCTGCTCCTGGGCCGCGTAGGCATCCGAGGCCATCGCGGTTCCCCGGCGGCGCTTGCGCCCTGCTCAGGCCTGGGGACCACTGGCCGTGGGGACAACGCCGCGGGGATGGGGTCGCGGCCGGATGCGGGGCGAGCCCGGCTAGGGCTGACCGCGTGTCCGCCTCGAGGCGCTGTCTCGGGCGGGGGGTGACGCCGCGCTCGCCGCTGCTCCCCGACCCGGCGTACCCGCCACCCGGCTTTCCCGGGAAGCCCTTGCGAAATCCGCTGAGGGTGCCCTGAGGTCTCGGCGCGCCGTTCGAGAGACTGATTGCAGCTGCGGAATACTTGCCGGGAAGACTGGCGGAAGGGCAGCTCTGGGTAATGACCGGTCGTACGGCTGTTTCTCTGCTCTTGAAAGTTGACGGAGTTACGCTCGGGAGCTCCGGGGTCGTGAGGGGCAGCGTTGAAGGTAGTCCTTCCAATCTAGTCTCCAGGCCGGGCAGGTGCCCTGGGCCTGGGGACTTGCGGGAAGGTGGGCTGCAAGCCTCCAGCGTGCCTGGGCCTGGGGTGGCCCCGTGCATTCCTACAGTGCTTGCAAGAACACTAGGAAATGGTTTGAGGCCTTGCCCTGCTCCATCCAGAGCAAGGTTATAGAAATTTCCAACAGCTGACCGCTTTTCTTTCATTTCTGGTGTGCCGCGGCGCGTTGTAAATCTCTCTTGCCACGTGAGGTTAGGTGAAGTAAAGTTTGGAACTTGGGTTCTTATTCACATTGCTCACCTCGCAGGAGACACGTTTGGCAAGTGGCTACTATTAGGGATCATGCAGCCTACAGAGCATTCACATCTGCAGAAGTTGTGGATTCGGAGGTGTTTGCGATGTTCCAGGCTCGCTGCAGATTTTATTTTATTGTCCTTAAAAGCTTTGCAAAAGTTGGAAATGAAGTTGAAGGGAGAGTGGTAAAGGGGGAGCTTCGGGGAGCAGTGAGTAGAAAATAGTACCAGACTAGCCCTGCCCTGCGGGATGGATGGAGCGATATTTACAAGTTGTAGGTGTAGCCAGTGAAATTTTTGCAGTGGGGCTGCAGGAGGGGGAGGCCAGCGTGTGCTCATTTTAAAGGAGGGCACCCCCGTTGGTCTTTGTTCCTCCCCCAGTTCAGATCTTTGGGGGCCACCGTGACGTGTCTTGGGTCCAGTACAGAACAGGGGCCCTCTTCCAGGGTCGTCCAGCCGGAAACTGGCAGGTCATGATTGAACACCAGGCCTCTCCCTCCCTACTTACTGTCTGCCTTTTCCAGATGCCAGACCAGGAGGGAGGACTGGAATGTGGAAGCGGGTGGAAGGGGGATGCCCCAGTGTCCTGGCATCCACGGAAGGGCTGTTGGGTGCTGGGTGCTGCCAGGGATGGGCCAGGGTGGTTGTGGCAGGGCAGCATAGCCCCTGAAAGTTGGGGCTTTCAGCCAACTTGGGATCTGCCTCTTCCAGTCTAGGTGCAGACGCTGAACACACGGCTTCAAGAAGACACTCGGGCTCGTGTTTCTGCGGTCCTGGGAGCAAGGACTCCCAGGTGGAATTTTGGCCCATCTTCAGATGTTCAAGTAGCACACAGCCTTGGGATGTACAGGGAGTCCCTCCCTCCTGAGCAGAGCAGGTAAAAGGATTGGCATTCCTGTAACACGTGGCTCTTTGCATATGCGGGTGCCTTCTTGCCCCGCTGGTGGGAACCAGCTGGGGGAGGATGCTGATGCCCTGGCCACTGCTGTTGAGAAGAGACAGGTCTGTCTGCAATCAAAGGTGTGTCCTACTAGCATCCCTGAAACGGTGGGCCACCTTGTCAGCCGGGGGTGGGGGTGGGGGGCGTCAGACGCTTCTCAGTTTCCGGCAGGTATCCCCCTTCCCCAGCAGGCTGTGCTCTGGGTCACTGCCCAGCATGTGACAGCGGTGTCTGTGGTCCCCCAGGGTGTCAGCAGCAGCAGTCCCAAGGTCCCAGAGCCACAGGAACCCTGAGAGATGGCCTCACTGGTGGCTGCCAGGGGAACGGCATCTGCAGCGGTGAGTGTGCTGGAGAGGTCTGTCTTCACCTCACCTCTGCTAATTTTCCCGAGTTTCCTGTCCTAGAAGAAGTTCAAAACCATCAACTTATTCTGACCTTCCCATATTGTAAGTTGGGTGATTGGGTCCCAGAAAGGTTAATAGCCTTCAGGCTTGTGAGACTTTTTGGACAACAGTTGTCTAGTATCTGGACTCCTTGGGCCCTGATGCTTTGGCCCGGCGTTGATTGCCTTGGTGGTTTGAGGTTCGACCTGCAGCCTTTGCCCCAGGAACCTCCAGGGTCGGTGCTGTGCTCACCTGGGAAGGCCAGGCTGCTACAAGTCCCGTCACGGAGGCCGGTTAGCTCACGGTGTAGCCAGGAGTGCAGATCCAGACTTGGTTCTGTTCTTGCCTCTCAGTGGCAGCCAACGTTTTACGGCACTCCTTGGCTGCTCACGTGCTTGATGTTTCACAGCACGCCTCCGAGTCCCTCCTCCTCCTCCTCCTGTCTGAAGGCGCAGCCGAACCATGGACACCCACCCACACACCTAGCGCAGGTGCTGCCCCCATTCTGGAAGTAGGTGCAAGTACTCTCATGCCGCCCTTGGAGGAGGCAGGAAGTTTTGGTTCTCTGCCCAGGCTGGGGCCAGGGGTAGCGGGGTCCTCAGGGCCTGGTGCGCATCTCTAACTGATGTCCTTTGACCCCAGGTTTGGATGCCGCCGTGCTTCCTGCTTCCGAAATAAGGCTCGTCGCTGTCGGCGTGACCCGGGCCCCTCCGACCGCTCCTGTGTGGGAAACCGGGGGTGGTTAATAAAGTCTTTTCAGTGTGTGGTTCAGCCCTACCTGGTCCTCCTTCCCATGTGCCAGAGACACTCTGGCCTTCCCAGACCACTGTGTGGGTGATGGGGTGCCTGCCCCCACCACCAGGACCTTCACCTGGGCCTCCAGAGCGGGCTCTGCTGCCTCAACAGGCTTCCTTCCCTCTCCTTACTGGCACGCTGAGATCTGGGTGTGGGGCTCAACTTCACACCTGGGCACAAGTGCAGGTGGCCAGCTCCATGTGTAAGCTGACACTCTTAGTGTAAGTGAGGCACACTCAGGGTTGGTAGGAAATCTCACGCCAGCCCTCTGGTGGACCACACCCACCAACCACTGGGTTTAAGTGTTTGTTTAGCTCATGCTGGGAGGCTGTTGGCAAGAATGTCAGCAGGACCAGCTTCTTTCAGGAAAGATGCAGAGAGCCACATGGACAATCTGTAAAGTGATGGTATGCACAGTGCCCACAGGTGTGACTCCAGTGCCAGCCAGCAGTGTACCCAGGAGGAAACCCCCAGAGCCCACTGGGAAGAGTGGGAGGTAGCCTATGAGGGGCCTTGGGCCTTCCCTGCAGGAGCCCACCTCAGTGAGGTGGATGTATTTGAGCCTCAGAGTCTTGCCAGAAGCCGAAAAAATCAAGGACATCAGCAGGGGGCCAGGCTAGGGCCAGGAAGGAGAGGGACCTGGCTGGAGGGAGGCATCTTGGAATTTTGCTGACCTTGTGAGGTCAGGAGAGTGACATGCAGCCCCCTCCCTCCCGTTTGGTGTCCCAGCTGAAATCCTGCTAGGGGTTTGTTCCCCCCTTCCCAGATGAGGGGGAGACCAGGAAGGGAAAGGACTTGGTATGATGTCATCCCTGTGTCTCCAGATTGGATAAGACTGGTTAGGCTTGAGGTTACACTGACAGCGCATAAAACCCACAGCAAGCTCCACGGAGCAGGGAATCCCCAACCTCAGCATGGTCTTGACATTTCTCCCAGGAAAAACCCGAAGAAAACTATCCAGTGACTCTGGAATTTCAGACCTCAGCTGTGTTCCTCTGTAATGTTAATTAGCATGTGCCCGGAGACAGGGGGATCCCTTGGGTTAGGAAGTTGGGGAAGTGACACCTGGGACCAGGTTCTGAGCTCTGGTGTGGAAAAGCCCTTCAAAAGCACCAGGTCTGTCCAGATTGAAGGGCCAGGCCAACAGGTCCGAAGCGGAGATGGGCCCATGCCCAGTTTCGTCAACCATTTGAATAAGCACCTCCCAGCCTTACTAAGCTGTATTCGATTGAGGGGCAAAGAAAGCCTATAATTTCCATGTCGACTATTGCAGAGTTTAGAAGGTGGTTCATTGGAAGGCAGCTATTACACAGACTGGTTTTTGAGTACAGGCCCCCGAAAGCATATGGATGACTCGCTCTTGGCTGATACTCCGGCCTCATGCCAGGCCCGGTGCCGAGAGACCTGTCCGGGAGACCGTTTGAAGACCAATCTGAACCAGGCAGTCTGCAGCTTCTAGAGGCTCTCTGCTATTCCTGATCCGTACTACAGAAGGGACAGGCGGGGGGATGCGAGGGCACAGGGTTCCTGCGGTACGACCCTCCCCAAGCCTCAGCACGAGGTTCCCAGGCCATCAGCCCTGCGGTGCAGTCTGACATGGGTTTGCCATTTATATCCTGGTGTGGCCTTGCACACTTTGAAGAATGTTGTTATAGACCCCGGCCCCAAGGCCTGGGCATCAGCATTCCCCATTTTTATCAAGGTACAAGGTACCCACTCTAAAAACCACCTAGTGTTGAGCTATGAGAGTTAACACATAGGGTTGGCAGTCAGGACCACGTGAAGCCATGGGTGACCCCCCCACCCTCCTTGGGCCAAGGGGTGGCCATAGAGACCACGGAGGGTCTGAGCTTACTGAGGAGGCCAGCAGGAACCTTCCAGAGCACCCACCACCTCCACTATCAGTCGCCCGCCCACTGGGTGCGGGAACCAGGAAGCAGGGGTCAGAGCCCCTCTCAGGAGGGAGCGGCAAGGGGGGAGGGCAGCCCCTCCCTGGGGCCAGAACCCACTTCCTCCTTTACCACACGCGCCTGGGGAGACGGCCCAGGAGGGCAGGGCCTGCTCCGAGCACCCTCCCCTCTGCCTCTCTGCACAGGAAGGTCGGGGCCACCTGGGCCGGGTGCCTCCCGCCGGCAGGATGGACGAGGAAGGCCCTGACTGCGGCAAAGCCGACTTCGTGCTTTTGGACCAAGTGACCATGGAGGACTTCATGGAAAACCTAAAACTCAGGTGGACGCAGGCGCTGGGTCCCCCTCTCCTGCTCCCACACTCCTTGGTCTCCCGTCAGTGGGGGGGGGGGCGGGTGGAGAGGTGGGCTTACATGCCAGGTCCCCCTCTCCTGCCTCCACGCTCCCTGGTCTCACAGCCCAGGACGTGGAGGGGGAGGTGGGCTTACACCCACCCACCCACACGGACCACTGTCTGGGTGACTGCATGGGGACCTGGCGGGGCACACGAAGGACAGTCCTCCCAGGGCCAGGGTGGCCAGCCAGTGCTGGGGCTGGCTTCCCAGAGCCCTGCCTTCCACACAGCCTGGCTGCCTTCTGCCCCTCCTGCCGGGCATGGACCGGCAGGTGCCAGCCCCCTGACAGGGCACACAGTCCCCCTCCTGCGGGGGGGGGGGCTGTGCTGGGCCCTGGGGCCCCCGAGGGAAGCAGGCAGGCCCTATCCCAGGGTGCAGCTGAGATGTCGCTTGGGGGTGCGTGGGGTGCTGCAGGGCATGGCTGGTAGAAGTGACATGGGGTCTGACTTGCCCTGCAAGAGCGAGGGGAGAGGGAGATGGGGTGGCCACCAGGACCCGGACAGCTGGACGGCCAGGGGGAGCAGAAGGAGGCTATAGAGCTGGGGGCGCCCCCGCCCGGCACCGTTATTGAAGGTAGAAGACAGGAGATGAGCTATTTTGTTCAGGGCTAAGCAAAATTTCACTTCCTTTTGATGACCTAGCCCGAGAGATGGGTGGACATTCCCATCTCCATTTTCACGATGGAGCACTGAGCTGGCCACACGGCTTGCAGGGGGCAGGTCAGGCGATGATGGGTGTGGAGGGAGCTGAGCTGGGGAACTCCCTCTACTGAGGCAAGGCGGCAGCTGAGGAAGAGGAACCCCTGACAGGGACGGCCCGCAAGCCACCAGGGCAGGGCGGGTCCCAGACAGCGCGCGGGAGCTGGTGGCCCGGGTGCCTCCCAGGGCAAAAAAGTCAAGAGAGGGAAGGATCCAGGTCCAGGATCTCAGCGGTCAGGGCTGAGAAGTCTGAGGATGTGCCGGGGGAGGAGCCGCTGCAGCCCCAGGCCCTCTCCCTGCGCCCCTCCCAAGTCCCAGCCATCTGGGTGGGGCTGGGCGGGGGCCTCCAGACGGAAATGGCCCGAGGTCCCTCCCTCTGCCTCCCAGCTCCTTTCTCCTCTCAGACCTAAACCACTGGGCTCCACCTTGCCCAGTGTGGTCTTGGGCAAGCCAGCCTTTCATAAAACGGGAGGTCATGATTCCTGGGACCCGCACGGAGAGCAGCCTGGATCCCAACATGACCCTGCAGTGGGGGTGGGGTTCCAGCAGGATGGCATCGGGAAGTCTCAGGTCACCCTGCACCCTCTTCCCACTCTCAGCCCTGGGGTGGGCCAGGGCCCTCCAAGGCTTCCCACAGCGGCCCACGGGCCCCAGCACCTGGGTGTGCATCCCCAGCCCTTGAGCACTGAGGCCTGGCTTCACCCAGGTTCGAGAAGGGCCGCATCTACACCTACATCGGCGAGGTGCTGGTGTCAGTGAACCCCTACCAGGAGCTGCCACTGTACGGGCCTGAAGCCATCGCCAAGTACCAGGGCCGTGAGCTCTATGAGCGGCCGCCCCACCTCTACGCTGTAGCCAACGCCGCCTACAGGGCAATGAAGCGACGGTCCAGGGACACCTGCATTGTTATCTCAGGTACCTGCCCTGTCGCCAGGGCCCAGGCAGCCTCCCCGGACCCTGGGGTTGGGGGGGGGGGGCGGCGGCACAGGGAACCCGTCAAGAAGAGCGGCTGCTAATTCTGTCTGACTCTCCATCTGCCTGGCAGGGGAGAGTGGGGCAGGGAAGACAGAGGCCAGCAAGCACATCATGCAGTACATCGCTGCTGTCACCAACCCCAGCCAGAGGGCAGAGGTGGAGAGGTGAGAGCAGGGTGGGCTGGTGCAGGGGTGGCCCTGGGTGTCACGCTGGAGGGGAAGACCTGTAACTGAGCCTGGCCACAGGCCCAGTTCAGTGGCTCATCTCTCAGGAGGGGTCCAGGTGACCCGCCAGTCCTTCTCAACCCGGGAGAGGCAGGGCCCAATGCAGGGTGTACCCCGCCACCAGGAACAGGAAGAGGCAAAGTGCACAGGGCCAACAGACAGGTGCTGGGCCCCTCATGGCAGACCCCACAGAAGGGAAAGTTTGCCCAGATGGTCAGGAAGGGCCTGGGCCCAGATGAGGGCTTGCCCGTCCATCTGCTGGCTAGCTGTTCACCAGCTGTGACTGGTGGGACCACGTGGGAGCAACTTCCTGTGTGAGAGCCCTGGTTCTTCCTGGGCTCTTCCTGTAGAGAGGGCCGAGGTGGGGCTCGGGGGGCTGGGGGCGAAGTCCAGCCTGTGGCTGGAGGTGCAGGGCAGGGTGTGCTGTCCTCCCTGTGGGCTGCAGGTGCCTGGGAGGCGAGGAGGTGCACTTCTGAGAGCACCTGGCAGGTGGCCTTCCCAGCCCACATGATGGTAGGCTGCAGGCAGGGCTGCCCGGCCCGATCTGCACCCTCCAGCCTGGCCCCCTACCCTACCCAGGGTCAAGGACGTGCTGCTCAAGTCCACCTGCGTGCTGGAGGCCTTTGGGAATGCGCGCACCAACCGAAACAACAACTCCAGCCGCTTCGGCAAGTACATGGACATCAACTTCGACTTCAAAGGAGATCCTGTCGGGGGGCATATCCACAGCTACCTGCTGGAGAAGGTGGGCCCTGCTGGAGAAGGTGGGCCCTGCTGCCTGGGCCCGGGGACAGGGCAAGCTTTCTGGGAGGTCCCCAGCTCTGAGGGGGCACCCTCTGTACCAGGCCCACCTCACCCACTCTGCCTGCATGGGCCTGGGGGCTCTGGGAGGGGTCCCCTGCATGGGGCCACTGCCCAGGCCATAGCCCAGCTGCCCTTCTCTTCTCAGTCTCGGGTCCTCAAGCAGCACGTGGGCGAACGGAACTTCCACGCCTTCTACCAGGTGAGCCAAAGCAGATGTGTGGAGGCACCCAGGAAGCCCTTCCGACGGTCCCATCCACAGCCCTTTTCCCTCCCTGCCTCCCCTCTGCTGTGACACCACCAGTCCCCTCCCCTCCCTGGGAGGGGGATCTCCATGGACACCCTGGATAGGGGGGTGTCTACACTGGGTGAGGCCCTCTGGAGAGGATCTTTCTGGGTTCTGGTGGTGTTTATGTCATGCCTGAACACTGAAGTGGGACCTCCCAGGACATGGGCATATCTACACAGTCTCTGACTCACTGAGATGGGAATGGTCTGGACGGTGGTGGTGGACACCATGTCTGCCCCATTCATGTTGGATCTCCCTGACTCTGGTGGTGTCTACACTGTGTATGACCCACTGAGGTGGGTTGTGCCTGGACTTGAGGGCACCAAGTCTACACCAGTCTTACCCAGTAGGTGGGTACTGCCTGGACACTGGCAGTATCTGCACCATATCTAACCCACTGACGTGGGATCTCCCTGTACCTTGTGACATCTACACTGCATTTGACCAGTGAAGTGGGTTCTGCCTGGATACTGGTGGCATCTGTGCTATTCTGACCCACTGAAGTAGGATTTCTCCGTCCTCCCGTGATGTCTACACTGTGTCTGACCACTGGACTCGAGCAGTGTCCACACTGTCACTGAGCTTCCTCATGTTTGTCCTTCTGCACGTTTGTTGGGGGGGGGGTCCTTGGCGTTCTGAGGGACTGAGGGAGGGGTGTGCCTGACCGCCAGGTGCTGCGGGGCTGTGAGGACTCACAGCTGGAAGACCTGCACTTGCAGAGGAACCCCGCCCTGTACAACTTCACCCGGCAGGGAGCAGGCCTCAATGTGAGTAGGGGAGGGGCTCTGTGGGAGTGGGGGCGGGGCTCCATGGGAGGGCCCTGGGTGCTGGCTGGTGGCAAGACCTCAGGGGGCCTGATTCAGTGGGGATCCATGGGGAGGCATTGGGGGCTCTGCGTGGGGAGAGGTGCAGCGGGTTAAGCAGGTGGGCTAGGTCAGAGGCATGGGAGATATGGGGGCTCAGTGTGGTACCAGGAGGCTAAACCCCTCCATCTGCAGCCCTTGGACAGTGACGAGAGGTGCCACTACCAGGCAGTGATGGAGGCCATGCGGGTGATCGGCTTCAGCCCCGAGGAGGTGGACTCTGTGCACCGGATCCTGGCTGCCATACTGCACCTGGTGAGCCTGGCCAGGGCCTGAGGGGCCACTGGCCCACATGGTGTCCTGGGGCTGCCCCTGGTGGAGGAGACTGGCCTCTGGCAGTCCAGCCCTGTGAAGCCTGGGTGCCCCCCTCCCCTAGCTGGGGGTCCTGTGCTCCCACACATGTAGGTCAGGCCTGCAACCAGCCAGTCCATGTCTGGCAGGCTCAGTAAAGCTGAGCGTCCTGCAGATGCCTCTTTCCTCTGTCATTTGAGGCCCATGTGGCTTTGGGCAGTTACTCAGCCCCCCTAAGCCCCTCCGTGAGCCGGTGTGAGGAGCAGGAGGACGCAACGGGACCATAGATGTGATGTTCTTGGTGGGAAGCCTTGGAGAAGGCTCTTCTCTGCACTGTGGGCCATTCCCCCATCTGGGGCCCCATGCCCCCCCCCATGCCATCCCTCCTTCTCCCTGGGCATGGCATGTAGGGAGGCTCCTCTGGGATCTGTCACGGGGAGCCTGACTGTCACTGCTCACCATCACCAGGGAAACATAGAGTTTGTGGAGACGGAGGAGAGCGGGCTGGAGAAGGGGCACCTGGCTGTGGCTGAGGAGGTGCTGGTGGACCACGTGGCAGAGCTGACAGCCACGCCCCAGGAGTCGGTGATGCGAAGCCTGTTGTCCCGCACCGTGGCCTCAGGAGGCAGGGAGCTCATTGAGAAAGGCCACACGGCTGCGGAGGCCAGCTATGCCCGGGACGCCTGTGCCAAGGTACTCTGGGGGCAAGCTGCCGAGAGGGAGGCGGGGACACCCAGGAGGCCTTCCTGTAGGAGGCAAGGACAGACGCAGCTCAAATCCCCAGCTGCTCACCTCCCCCCAGGCAGTGTACCAACGACTATTTGAGTGGGTGGTGACCCGGATCAACTGTGTCATGGAACCCCGAGACCGGGACCCCCGGCGTGACGGCAAGGACACAGTTATAGGCGTACTGGACATCTATGGCTTCGAGGTGTTCCCTGTGAACAGGTGGGTGGCCCAACCACTGCATCCATGCTCTGACCCCAACCTCTAGGACCACTTTAGTCCCACGGAGCTCCCCGGGGCTAGGGAGCAGGAGGCGTGATAGCGTCCGTCTGCCCCAGCTGGTCCCTAGCCCCCCGACTGTGCCTCAGCTGTGCCTCCCATCCAGTGGCACCCAAGAAGGCAAGATTTGAGGCACACTTCCCCTGGCTGTGACTCCCAAATCCACTCTAGAGCATGCATGAGCTGGGGGGGCTGGAGGTCGCAACAGGAGATACACCCCCACAGGGGGGCCCCTCCGGGGAACTTCGGGGGAGCTACTGGGGAGGGACCCACCGTGGATGCAGAGGCTCTCTGCACACAGAGCGAGCACCCCAATGTAGGAGGGCAGGGCGAGGGCGGGGTATAACAACCCGGCCCTCTGCCCGCCCGCAGCTTCGAGCAGTTCTGTATCAACTATTGCAACGAGAAGCTGCAGCAGCTGTTCATCCAGCTCATCCTGAAGCAGGAGCAGGAGGAGTACGAGCGGGAGGGCATCGCCTGGCAGACCGTGAGTGCCGGGGCCGCGGGGTGGGTGCTAGGACCAAGGGGTGCGTGTTCGAGGGCTGCAGGGGGGCGGATGCGTGGGCTGGTGCGCAAGGGCCCTGGGACACTGAGGACCACCGGGGTGCTGAGCCGGCCAGGCCGCTCTGCAGGTGGAGTACTTCAACAACGCCACCATCGTGGACCTGGTGGAGCGGCCACACCGCGGCGTGCTGGCCGTGCTGGATGAAGCCTGCAGTGCCGCAGGCACCATCACCGACCGCATCTTCCTGCAGAGCCTGGACACGCACCACCGCCACCACCCACACTACACCAGCCGCCAGGTGCTACTCCGCCCCACCTGCCCCCAGCTGTCCCCAGGCTGAGCCCCACAGGCACCATGCGTCCTGTCTTGGTGGGATCTTGGTGGCCGGGCCTCCCCTCGGGGGTGGTCCCCTACACAGACACCGGCCCTGTGCCTTGACCCTGGCCCGCCCCCTCCCCAGCTCTGCCCCACAGACAAGACCATGGAGTTTGGCCGAGACTTCCGGATCAAGCACTATGCGGGGGACGTCACGTAAGGCCCCCTCCCCTTCTTACACCCTCCAGAGGTGCCTGTCAGCACACGCCCAAGTGAAACACATGGGACGGAGGTCTTAGGATCAGAGCTCTCAGTCCTGGCTGCACCATAGAATCCTTTGGAAGCTTTAAAAGATGCTCTCATCTAGGCCCCCCACCATGCTGGTGCTTGGGGGAGGGGCACACTACTATGGAGGTGGCCTCCCTCCAGGTGCAGGTGGGCGGGTGGGGGTGGGGCGCAGACCCGACAGAGTCTGTCTTTCCTTATTTTTTGTTAATTTTTAAAATGTTTATTTTTGAGAGAGAGAGAGAGAGAGAGACAGCACGAACAGGAAAGAGGCAGAGAAGGAGACACAGAATCTGAAGCAGGCTTCAGGCTCTGAGCTGTCAGCACAGAGCCCAACATGGGGCTCGAACCCACGAGCTATGAGATCATGACCTGAGCTGAAGTCGGAGGCTTAACCGACTGAGCCACCCAGGTGCCCAAGAGTCTGTGTTTCCAACACCTTTGGTACTAATGCCTGCGGAGCCCTTCAGAAGTCTCCATGATATTTTTATGACTACCTGTCGCTCACCTCATCCTGAATGGGACTTGAGATGGCCCACAGAGAAAGCCACAAGTGTCTGCTGTGTCCCTCACAAGGACAAGAAGCAGAGAGGACAGTGCAGCCTGAGGTCAGACCTCATGCCCGGAGCCTTCACCGGAGCGCCAGGTGGAGCCCAGAGTTTGGCCCTGAGCCGGTTTCTGGCCTTTGTCATCAAAGGGCAAGACAGTGAATCTGAGGTTCTTGGTGCTACAGAGTCCAAACAGACCAATGACTCAAGTTCCTGGTTTAACTACTGCCGCTGATACTTAGGGAAACTCAGTAGGCGCTGTTCTGAGCGTGTGATGTGTGTCTGGGCAGAGACAGGTTAAGTCACCGGTCCTAGGCCACACAGCATGTATCTGCTAGAGCCAGGATTCCATGCCGTGGTCACAACAACCGACTCATCTTCCTGGAGGGCGACTCTCAGACTGGTGGAGGAAGGGAGTGGGTGTGGGTATGGGAGGGAAGGGTGGGGACTTCCTGGGGCTCTCAGAGGCCCCTCACCAGCCCCTGCCCCGCAGGTACTCGGTGGAGGGCTTCATTGACAAGAACAGGGACCACCTCTTCCAGGACTTCAAGCGGCTGCTGTACAACAGGTGTGTGGGCTGGAGTTGGAGGCGGAGCCCCAGGGCTTCAAGCTGGAAGGGCCTTCAGACACCCAGGTCTGACACCAGCCGTGTGGGATGTCAGCCTGAGGTCTAACACCAAGGCCACAAAGCTTACCAGTGGCAGAGCTGGGGCGGGGCTGCCCTCCAGAGGGCGGCTGGGGATGTGGCCTGTGTCCACAGCTCAGACCCCACCCTGCGGGCCATGTGGCCGGATGGGCAGCAGGACATCACAGAGGTGACCAAGCGCCCCCTGACGGCCGGCACCCTCTTCAAGAACTCGATGGTAGCCCTGGTGGAAAACCTGGCCTCCAAGGTACTGTCCCCTGCCCTGCCCCCACCTTGGATCTGTGCACGGCCTTCTGTCTGTGCCTGAGCGTCAAACTGGCCCCCTATATCTGCACATCCTGGGGAAGGTGGTGCTCGCTTCCTGCCTGCTGTGAGCTGCACCCCCACCCCCACCAGCCAACAGGAACCCTCCGCAGTGCTGATGACATGTCCTGGGCTGGGCTGAAGCCTCCTGCCCGTCCCCACCACCCGGTGGGTGGGCGGGGCCCATAGGGACAGGAAAGCAGCTTCTAGCGGAGCTCAAAGTCAGAGGGGACCTCAGGAGGACACCAGAGCCCCCTTAGCCACAGAACAACTGGACATTCAGCCCAGCCTCTGTAGAGGCAAGAGGGAGGCAGGCAGGACCCCTGCCAGACAGCCAGGGAGGGGGCAGGGGGCACACCTGCCCAGGGGCCATGGGGCTGACGCTGGTCTCCCTGAGTATCTCCTGTCATGGCAGGAGCCCTTCTATGTCCGTTGCATCAAGCCCAACGAGGACAAGGTGGCTGGGAGGCTGGATGAGGGCCACTGTCGCCACCAGGTCGCGTACCTGGGGCTGCTGGAGAACGTGCGTGTCCGGAGGGCCGGCTTTGCTTCCCGCCAGCCCTACCCTCGGTTCCTGCTCAGGTACTGCTCCCTGCTTCTGGGAGCCCCGAGTCCCCAGTGTCTGTCCCCCACGGGCCGGGCTTCAGGGAGGAGTCTGAGGGGTGGGCGGAGGGTCCCAGAGGCAGCCAGGACCCCTCGGACCCGACACATGGGACACTGACAGTGAGGCTCCTTGCGGGACACAGGGCAGGGTGGGCGTGGGCTAGAGGGAGTGGCACCTAGGGCGATGGCATGGGCTGGGTGTGTCAGCCCAGCTGGGGTGGCTCCACGCCTCTCCCTCGAGTGAGTGCCTCCTGCCCCGTCCCGCGTTACAGGTACAAGATGACATGTGAGTACACGTGGCCCAATCACCTCCTGGGCTCCGACAGGGCCGCCACGAGCGCCCTCCTGGAGCAGCACGGGCTGCAGGGCGATGTGGCCTTTGGCCACAGCAAGCTCTTCATCCGCTCACCCCAGACTCTGGTCACACTGGAGCAGAGCCGTGCTCGCCTCATCCCCATCATTGTGCTGCTGCTGCAGAAGGTGCGGCCCCACCGGATGCCCACTTGGGTGTGGGGGGATGGGTGTACACCTGGGGGGGAGGGGAGGGGGGAGTGTGCATCTGGGGGGAAGAGAGGGGTGGCTGTGCACCGGGGGGTGGGGAGGGGTGGGTGTGCACCCCCTGGAGTTGGGGGGTATGCACCTGGGGGGATGGGAGGGGAGGGTGTGCACCCCCTGGAGTTGGGGGGGGGGTGTGCACCGAGGGGCCCACAGGCACACCTCCAGGCACCAGAGGAACCCCCTTCAGCCAGAGACAGCCCAGAACTAAAAACTGACTTAAGCAAAAGTGTGGCTGTGGTTCAGTTCACCTCAGTCCTATGAGCCATCAGCTTCAGGCCCAGATGGATCCAGGCACCCAAAACAAGGTTTTCAGGAATCTGGCTTCCTTCTTTTTTACCTTCCTTTTCTTTTTACTTTTTTTCTTCTTTACTCTGAGAGATTTGGGACCCAGAGAAAACCATGTGTGCTGGTGTTCCAAAGTCCCCCACCTACTCCCCAGAATCAGTCGTGTCACCCTGTGGCCACTGTGGTTTTCTGCAGACACCTTCACCCCTTCTCAGTGCTTTTTAAGCAAATCATTTTGTTTATAGTCATTTTAGGACGTGTTTCCAAAGGACAGGGGTTCTTCCTTCTCTCTCCCTTTCTAACATTTCACACCTACTGAAAAGTCAAGAGGTTTTTTTTTTTTATTTTTTTTTTTATGTTTTATTTATTTATTTCTAGGAGAGAGAGAGAGAGACAGCGTGAGCAGGGGAGGGTCAGAGAGAGAGGGAGTAACAGACTCTGAAACAGGCTCCAGGCTCTCAGCTGGCAGTCAGCACAGAGCCTGACGCGGGGCTCGAACCCACAAACTGCGAGATCATGACCTAAGCGAAAGTCGGACGCTTAGCCGACTAAGCCACCCAGGCGCCCCCCCAAAAAAGTCAAAAGGTTTCTATGATCATTCACTGTCCACCCGGATTGCTATGTGGTGTGCCCCCACCCCATCTCTGTGGTCTGTCCCTGCACCCACCTTCAGGCCCTCATATACATGTGTATTTCTGTTTTCCTGAATCCTATAAAGTAATGACACCTCCAAATACTTCAACACACACACACACACTAAGAACAAGGATGTCGAACCATGCTGACCTTACAGACAAGAACCCTAACGCTGACGGAACATCATCTATGTATCTAAATCACACGCAAGCTGAGTTCAAGGTTTCCACAAGTGTCTTGCTATTCCTTCTCTCATCTTTACAAACCCAGCAGTGATGACACACTGCATTTGTTAGCTTTGCTATCTCTCCTAACACATAGGGACCGTTGTTATGAACAAGCCACAATGCACTGTCACAGAAATGGGACTTAGGAGGGTCACACTGGGTCCTTGCAGCCCCACCATCTCCAGGGCTGTCCACACTGCTGTCCTGTCCTCTGTGTGTTTGAGTCTGGGCTGCCTGCTGTGGAATTTTCAATCTAGGTTTTAATGGTTGCATTCTTGGGGCACCCCTCATCTTGGGGCCTGCTGGGGGATGGAGGTCAGTGCTGGGCCAACTCAGTGTGGTCCTTCTTTGGGGGGAAGCACCTGTTAAGAGTGTGCTGCGGGAGCACTCCCAGGGGTCAGATGGAGGTTCCGGCAGGCAGGGCCGGGTGCCCACCTGGGAAGCAGCCTGCCCCTGGGCGTCCCGGACAGCTCAGCCTTGCCCAGCAGTGGGCTGTGGGTGGAGGGGGCGGGGCCCCGCTGGGCCTGAGAGAGCCTGGCCGGCCCCCCAGGCGTGGCGCGGTACGCTGGCCAGACGGCGCTGCCGAAGACTCCGGGCCGTTTACACCATCATGCGCTGGTTCCGGAAGCACAAGGTGCGCGCTCACCTGGCAGAGCTGCAGAGGCGCTTCCAGGCCGTGAGGCAGCCCCCCCTGTATGGCCGGGACGTGGTCTGGCCGCCACCCCCTGCGGTGCTGCAGCCCTTCCAGGACACTTGCCGGGTGCTGTTCTGCAGGTGACTGCCCTTGCCCTGCCCCTGAGCTCTGCCCCACTCAGCTAGCACCCACTGAATGCAGGCCCCCTTTCATCAGTGGGAAAATAGGAGGCCGTGCACATTGGCTGGGTCCCCACACCCCCACGGTTGTCAGTAGAGCCCCAGGTCTCCTTGCCGAAGGCCTGCAGGGGTGGGTGGCTGGCTGCCACCAGGTAGTGCGGGAAACAGCATCTGAGCGGGCACTGAAGGCCGGGTAGGAGTTCTCTGGGAGGAAGGGCCCAGCAACCTCCCTGCTCAGACCAGGGAGGCCAAGATGCAGGGCAGCCGGCACCAGTCAGGGAGGCATGTTCCATGGGGGAAAGAGGGTAGAGGCCGTATGTGTGAGTTGGGGGTGGGGGGGTAGGACCTGGATGAGGACCCTCCGACCACCTGGTTCCCTTCAGGTGGCGGGCCCGGCAGCTGGTGAAGAACATCCCACCTTCAGACATGGCCCAGATCAAGGCCAAGGTGGCCGCCATGGGGGTCCTGCAGGAGCTACGGCCGGACTGGGGCTGTCGGCGGGCCTGGGACCGGGACTACCTGTCCTCTGTGAGTGCTGGGGCTGTGAAGCTGGCCACTGATGCAAGCTCATGGCTAGCCCCTGCCAGCGTCCACCCCAGATGTCCTCTCCCGGGGCCTGGCCATCCAGCTGGCTTGGGGGCCAAGTCCCTCCACCTGCCCCTCGCCTCTGAAGTTTCAGCTTTCCACCCAGAACCAGCTGGCCTGGGCTTTACTGAGCACCTCCTCCTCTGCCCTCTGTACCCCCCATCCCCTTCTCAGGCTCATGCACCCCATGCCATGGCTCTCCTCGGCCCTCACACAGGCCCCGGGAGCTGTGTCCCTGGCCCCGTTCTACAAGGGACCAAGGCCAGGGGCTCAAAGTTTTCCCTGGTCCCACCCAGCCACTGCCTTCTAAGCTTCTGGGCCCATGGGCAGCAGCGGAGGGCACAGGCCTGCCTACACCCTGGGGCCAGTGCAGGGACCCTCAGAGAACCCAGGGGAGGCTGCACAAGGCCTCACTTACTTAACTCAGCTTCCAAGGTGAAGGCTAGCGGAGTGGATCCACCAGACTCGCTGCGGATCCCAAGGACCCCTCTCAGGCGCCCCCATCTGTCCTCAGGCTACCGACAACCCCACAGCCTCTGGCCTGTTTGCCCAGCGACTGAAGGCGCTCCGTGAAAAGGACGGCTTTAGGACTGTCCTCTTCTCCAGCCACGTCCGAAAGGTGAGACATGGGGCCGGGGCAGCCACAGCCCAGGGCAGAGGTTTCTGGAGCCGTTAGATCCCCCTCAGTCCGTGAAAACACGGGCACAGGGAGAAGAGACCCTGGGGCTCGACAGGACCCCCAAATTGCCTGTCCCGCAGGTGAATCGCTTCAACAAGAGACAGGATCGGGCGCTCCTGCTCACTGACCGGCACCTCTACAAGCTGGACCCTGGCCATCAGTACCGGGTGATGAGAGCCGTGCCCCTGGCCTCGGTGAGCCCTGTGGGGGTGAGGTGGGGGTGTCTGCAGGGCCCCGCTCCTGGTGCCTGCCTGGGAAGGCCTGAACTTTCTAGCGCTCAGCATCAACTCAGGATGGTGGGAAGGGCAGGGGCTGCGCCATGGGGCCCTCTTCCCTGCACCCCTGTCTCCCCTGCACCATGCTCTTGCTTCTGGGGGGGTGCTGTAACCGCGTGGGGGCCCACCTGGTGCGCTGGCCATGCCACTGGCGCCAATTAGATGTAATGGGAGAATAGCAGAAGGTTCAGTGCGGGGGGGGGGGGGGGGGGGGGGGGGGGGGGGGGGCAGCCCACTCAGTGCAGAGCCGCAGGGCAGTGGATTAGAGGCCCCCATGGAGAACATTCCACCCAGTCCTGGAGCAAGTCCTGGAGCAAATTCTCGCCCTGGGCCAGCCCTCCCTTTGTGGGCGGGCCGCAGCGGGAGCCTGGGGACTCCAGGGAGCTGCGGGGTTTGCCGGGTGGGGCGGGGGTGTACGGTGGTGGTAGCCTACCACTCCCCTGACCCCAGCCCCTGCCATGCAGGTGACCGGGCTGAGCGTGACCAGCGGGCGGGACCAGCTGGTGGTGCTGCACGCGCGGGGCCAGGACGACCTGGTGGTGTGTCTGCACCGCTCCCGGCCGCCACTGGACAACCGCGTAGGGGAGCTGGTGGGAGTGCTGGCGGCGCACTGCCAAGGGTAAGTCCCAGGGCGCGGCGGGGGAAGGGGGGGGACACTGCTAGGGGTGAGTCCCAGGGCCCTGGGGTGGGGGGCTGCGCCGCTGCCCCGCCTCTGACCTCTCCCACTCCCACCCTCTGCCCCGGCTTCAGGGAAGGGTGCACCCTGGAGGTCCGCGTCTCCGACTGCATCCCGCTGAGCCAGCGGGGGGCCCGGCGCCTCGTGTCGGTGGAGCCGAAGCCCGAGCAGCCTGAGCCGGATTTCCACTGCAGCCGTGGGGCCTACACTCTCCTCTGGCCCAGCCGCTGACCCGGCGCTGCATCTGGGCTGCCTCCGGGCCAGCGCCACGCAGCACAATAAAGGATGCGTGTCTCTGCCCTGCGAGACTTGTATCTGTGGGTGGACCGCCACACAGCCGCCAACAACTTGGCAAACGTCACCCCAGTGTCCTCCGCTCACTCTCTGTGGTCACTGACCTGGAGGAGGAGGCCTGGGGGCCGGGTCTGGTGGGGCCGCATGATCCCGTTCTCCCCGGGACCTCCTGGACATGCAGCCCACAATCCGGGAGGAAACGGTGCCCTTTATGTCCCAGGGTGTTCCTCCCCAAAGCTGGGATCCCTTTTCCTATCTCCCCTCCCATAAGGCTCCTGGCCTTGTTCCTACTGGGCCATGGGGAAGCTTGGGGGTCCTAGGGCCACCTTGGGGCAGGGATGTGGCTGAGCCCAGCAGACACTGTCCCAGCTGCCGGGTCTCCTGCGGACGTGGGCATCCTGGGAGGAGGGACACAGAAGATCTTGAGTCTGGGGCTGTTCGGAAGCCCTACCAGAGGAAGGTAGACACACTTCCTTCCTCTCTGGCAGTAGAGCCTGGCCCCAGCCCCTCAGCGCCCCAGCCCTGCCCCACCCTGCCACCCTCACCCCCCTGGAAATCTCACTCCATAGGAGGCCCCTTTCTTTTGGGACTCACTAAATTTGGGTGGCACCCTCACCTTGTTGTGCCAGGTTGGTGTGAAAGGAGGGTGGCATGTGTCTACCGTGGCCTCCTTGAAGGACTCACAACTTCTGAGGCCTCCCCAGGGGATGAGGCAGGTTGCCCCCTGCTAGGAGAGTGGGTGTGTTAGGCTGTTCCTACCCTGGGAGCCCAGCCTGGAGGACCGGAGACCCCCACATAGCCTGTTCTTGCGTGTGTCCCCAGTAATGGTGGCCTCGGGACAAGCCAGCCCTTCTCTGAAGAGCAAGCTGACAGTGAAGGGTGCTCAGGTCCCCTGGCATCCCGAGATCTAAGCTGCTCTGGGCAGCGGGTGGTCCTGGCCCTCTGTAGACTGGCTTGGCTGAGGGGTTCAGGACAGCCTGCTCCTTTCCGGATTCTCTGTGGCGGCCCAGCTCCTTGGTCGAGGAGAGGGCTTTGTGAGGGAGGAAAAACTTCATGGAGCCTCTCACAGCACCTGGACACATTTGAGGGTACAGCCCTTCTGGGGGCTGCCCCATGCTGCAGGAGGTGCAGGGCCAAATGCGGTTTCTCTAGCCTCCAAACAAGGTCATGGCTGCCGGGCTGGTTCTCAGGGCTCCAGGGTCCTGAGATCCCAGCAGAGAGGTCGGGAGACAGGCCAGGAAGGGGAAGGTGCTGGACTTCCTGTATGCAAACCTCACATCGGGCTATTCACATACGTTATACATCGTCCTACAAATCCTCCTATTTGTCATATAAGAAGCGCTTTGCAAACGACACTCAGCCCCACACCTGCCGAGGTCAGAGGTCAGTGTTAGCTTTATCTTGCTCTGTGACCTGCCATCGTGTGCCGAGTGGGGCAGATCCAGGCACACATGCCCCACAGCCATGCCCCACAGCCATGCCAGCCGAGGCCCTGGCTTGCAGACGGGACTATGGCCCTCAGCCTTTGCTGCCCCTCAAGGAGCAGGCCGTCGGTCCCCTCTGCCCTTGAGTGGATGTCTGCATCCAAGCAGGGTTCCCCAGAGTCCAAACTGGCCCCCAGAAGAGGTGGGAGCATCTCCAGGCCCGAGCCTTAAGACACCAGAAACACATGGCAAGGGGCCACGTTGGGAAGAGTGTGAGACACAGAGACAGAGACGAGATAGGGGAGCAAGAGACCTCCAGCCAGACCGGCAGTCTGCAGTAGCGTTGCTGGTTTTAAGCCACTACATTTAGTGGTGATTTTTTTGCACCATGATAGGTAACTGAAACGAAGATTAAGCTTTCTGACCGGTGTCTGCATGTCTTTCCGTGTCCCTGAGTGCAGCCAATGAGCTGTTGTAAGTTGTGAGCTTCTCTCCAATAGTCTCGCACATCTTTATCACGTGAATGCGTAGGACCACCAGATTTGGGTGACTTCATGTTGACTTTTGGAAAAAAAAAATGTTACTTACAAAGAAGAATGCACTCCATACTCGGAGTGAACCATGAACATTTTGCCACATTTGGTTCCATTTTTCCTGATGTATTTTCAGGTTAATTGTAGATACCACGCCATTTCATCCCGAACATGCACCTCTCCGAACGAAGCGTGTTTTCTTAGCCGACCAAATGCCATGATCAAAACTAACAAAATGTGTAATAATTCCTTCATGTCATGGAACACTTGGTCAGCTTTCCCCAAGGTCCTTTTACAACTGGTTTGGAGGAGCCGCTATCAAAACAAAATCCACATATTTGTCTCAGTGTGTATCCGGGCAAGGGTCCGGCGTGGTAAGCCAATTTGTCCTGCGAAGTCTCAGAATCAGCTTGTGTGGTCAGTGTCATGGACCCCAAGTTTACAGGCAAGGGGCTCGGCCACAGGGATGGGTTGTCAGGAGGGGCCCAGTCCCCAGGGTCCAGGAGCCGGGTGAAGACCCCTCTTTCCACAGAAGGGGCCAGCTGTGCCATCTTGTGTCCTGACCAGCTGAGCCGTCCCACTGAGGGCGGGAAGTGCTCTCATAGAGGGTGTCCACTCCTGAAGCCTCCACCTCCCACATAGAAGGGCCCCGAAATGTGCCTGAAGAATGTACCTGCCAGCCTGTCAGGCCAGGCTATTCCCTGCAATGAGGTGAGCAGAGGTCCCGAAGCGGGGAACTTGGTTGGTTGTTTTTATTATTGAGTTGCAAGAGCTCTTTATATATTCAGGATACTCTGCCACTTCTTTATAAGTAAAAAAAGTAAAGCTTTATTTTTCTATGTTGGGCCCAGGTTGAACTATGGAATATCGGAGTGGCTCATTGACATGTGTCTGGAGCACTAGTGAGATCACTTATCAGCGCAAAGCCGCCATCCAACTCTAGGTGAGAGCCTGAATTGGGTCTCCCCATGTGTGGCCTGCGAGCTGGAGTTGGGCCCGTGAGTCTGCTGGGGGGGAGTGCACACCCTGAGATGATATGTGGGCGGCGGACCACTCTCGGGCAGTCACCGGGGTGCTTCTGCAAGCCAGAGCAAGTTCATGTCACACGTGGAGTGGATGGCCGGCTTTCCGGCCAGACAGGAGGTGCACAGACCTCACAGCTCCGCAGGTGGGCACAGATGGCCCCACCGTCCTCTGCATACCCCACTCCGGGCCCCAGCAGGGACCAGGCCCTGCCCACACCAGGAAGCACACTCAACCCTTCCTTGGGAATATAGCAGAACCTTCTAGAGACTCTGGCGCAGTCGCAGGGGAGGTGCTCTGTGTCCCACCATGTGCCAGCCCTCATCTTCCTTCCCAGGAGCCCAGGCGAGGCCTTGACCATGTGAGCTGAGCAGAGGCGGTGCAGGGGCCTAGAGCGAGGCGGCAGAAGAACATGTTCCCTGTGAGCTCACGTGGAAAAGGTTGGAAGGAGACGGCCATGAGCTGGAGCGCCTGGTGGGAGACAGGGTGACTTCTGTCCTGTCAGTGCAGGCATCTTCCATTTACCCCTAAATTTATAGTAAATGGCACCGAGCTGCTCTGCCCACGTGGCAGGGCCCGAGCCAGCTGCCATGAGACCACGGAACCAGCGTCATCACCAGGGCCATCAGGCCTCCAGCAGGGACAGCCCCAGGTGTCAGGGACATGGACAGAAACCCTAGAAGCTGCCCCCAATGTTTCACAGGTCAGCACCCTGGGACGTGAGAGGCAGCAGGCTGGGCCTTCACTCTTGCCCAGAACACCTGTATGGGCTACAGAAGATCAGAAAATTCCAGAAACTGGGGTGCCTGGGTGGCTCAGTCAGTTCAGCGTCCAACTCTTGGTTTTGGCTCAGGTCATGATTTCACGGTTTGTGGGTACGAGTCCCACATCAGGCTCTGTGCTGACAGCTGACAGCATGAAGCCTGCTTGGGAGTCTCTCTCTCTCCCTCTCTCTCTCTGCCCCTCTCCCACTTGCTCTTTCTCTCTCAACATAAATAAAAATAAAGTTAAATAAAAAGAAAAAAATGGGAGCCTGGGGGGCTGAGTCGGTTAAACGTCCAACTTTGGCTCAGGTTATGATCCTGGGCTCGTGAGTTCAAGCCCCATGTCGGGCTCTGTGCTGACAGCTTGGAGCCTGGAGCCTGCTTTGAATTCTGTGTCTCCTTCTCTCTCTGCTTCTCCCCCACTCGTGCTCTGTCTCTCTCTCACACAAAAAGAAAATAAACATTGAAAAAATTGGGGGGGGGCGTTGCCTGGGTGGCTCAGTTGGTTAAGCGTCCGACTTCAGCTCAGGTCATGATCTCATGGTTCGTGGGTTTGAGCCCCGCATTGAGCTCTGTGCTGACAGCCAGCTCAGAGCCTGGAGACTGTTTCATAATCTGTGTCTCCCTCTCTCTCTGACCCTCCCTTGCTCATGCTGTCTCTCTCTCTCTCTCAGAAATAAAACACTAAAAAAAAATTTTTTTTTTTAAAAGAAAAGAAAATTTCAGAAACATCTGAGTGAGGATGACCACATTCTGTTTAAATCCTCTGGGCTGAGCAAACAGGACCATCCTTCAAGTGGAGATATGGCAGGACTGCGCCGGGTGCCTGTCACAGAGCAGCAGGGTTAACGCCCCAGCACAGTTCCCACAGGCGTCTGTCACCCTGTCCTCAGTTTACCAGGAAGACGTGCCACCGAACAGTCCATACACTTTCCGGGAGAACAAAGCAAGACAGAAACCCCACAACTTCCTGCTTTTGCTGCACTGTCAGCCAGGCCCTGTTAATCCCCACAGCAAGGCAGACCCGCACGCCCACCCTGGTCATGACCCCAGCTGGCTGTGGCCACGCAAGGGGCACAGGCAGAACCCACCAGGGGCAGCCTCTGGGTCTGAAAGCCGCTTCCGAGGGGACAGGAGGGGCGTGGCATGCGGGCTTGGGGAGGCCGAGCAGCTCAAGGCCCGTCTGGAAAGGGCACATGTTCACAGGAGAGGGTGGTCTGCCCAGGGTCTCAGAAAGGCCTGAAACAACAAGAACGTGGC